GCCTTGATTTTAATTTCACATTTCTACAAAAAACATAATTTCCCCCATTTTTTCCTAAATCTCCATTTCACTGGATTTTTTTTTTCTGGCATTTCCTTCCTCCCTAAATTGGAAACTAAACTAAAAGTCTTTGAGCGTGTTACCAACATATTTGACTTTTTTTGTGCTATCTCATTCAAAGCTTCAATACAAATCAGGAGTGGGACAAGGCACGTCAGTCTCAGAGACCCCAGAGATGGAGAGAGTTAAACGCAATCAGCACAATATTAGCACGGTACTCCACAGAGTGACCCTGTAACCTCCTGTGCTGCTCATTCATTTGCCTCTACCTCACTCTTCATCTCCCTTAAATACACCATCAGCAGCTCTCCTGAGCCATCACCACTCATTTAGATGTTTAAACTGTTTGTCACATCCAACCCACCACGCAGATATAACACAAATCAGCCTTGTGGGGTCAGCTTATACCCACGTTGTCGCTAACATAACCTGCTTCTTCATTTCTCAGGAGAAAAAAAAGTGTGTTTAATTCCATATTTCATGTCTGCTGTGAGTTTTGGTGCTGTGCTGTGTAACTGTCTTCTTTCAATTGTCTCTAAATGACCTGCTCTTTACTTTCTTTGCATGGAACCCAAACTGTCTTTTGGGTAGATAAAATACAAGGACTCTCTTGGCCGAGCCACAGCTATATCGGACCTCCCTGAGGTGAAGCGGGTCAAACAAACCCAGAAGCACATCAGCTCGGTAGTGGAACAAAACCCGAACCACGTGTGCTCCTAACTGTTGAGAGTGGACAGTAGTGCCCATCAATAATGCCCGTCATCTGTTTGCTACTCCCCCCTCCCTCCTGTCATCATGCTCTCATCACCACCCGCTCATCTTCATCCATCTTCATCCATCCTCATCCAAGGCACAGACTGCGGTATCCTGAGCTCCAGCCCTGCCATCATCACCACTTTGACTTAATTTTCATTCATGCATTTCTTTTTTTACCCTCTTCTCCTCTTACTCCTTCAAATCATTTTTCATTTTCAATCATCAACCCCTCAAGCTGAGTGAAACCCTCCTTTTTCTCCTGTGATGCTATCCAACCCCCCCTCTATCCCCAACCCACCCCTCTCCCCTATACAGTATTCTAACCTGCAGCCCAGCTTTTTTCACACAAAGCCGCTGCGTGCTACTAGGTTGATTTCCACTTCACAGCAAATGACAAGCTAAATCTCCTGCTGAAGCGTGAGGAGTGTGTTTGTTCTCACATGTTTGTTTCTACAACAGAGATCCTGGCTGTTTGATAGGAGCTACCAGGATGAGTCACTCTATAGGACCAATTTCTCAGACAATGCTTAAATATATTCTAAAAGCAACAAATGTCACTTCAACTGAAAGTAATTCTTTCTTTGAGATAAATTAATCTTGGAAATTTCTTGTGTGTGTATCTTCTGTCGAAGAGTTTGAAGTCAAGTCTATGAAACCAGTCCTATAGGTGTGTGGTCTGTGTCTGGTGCAGTGTCTGACTGGCCCCTTGGGGCGCTGTGCTTCTGTCCTGTAGGTGTTGTATAAAGACAGTTCAGCCAAGGGAACTCCCGTGGTGTTCACTCCAGAGATGGAGCGGGTCAAAAGGAACCAAGAAAACATTAGCTCGGTACCTTCAGAACCACCGCAAGAACATGTTCTACTGAAGAAATGTTCTATACCTACCCCATGTTAACCCTTTTCTAACTGACTTGTCTCCTGGCTCTAGTTAATTGTATTAATTCTCCCCACTGCGCTCTCTTTTCAATGTGTTTAACACCACCAGCTGTGGTGTGTCTGTGCACATCATCACTGCTAACCTCTCCTGTTGTTGAAACTACTCTACTTCACCTTGTTCCCCTGCCGCCCTCCTTCTGAAGATTGAGACATAATCTTGTTTAATTATTATTTAATACTTGAACCTCTTAATAAAAAATCTCCCTGCTAATTCATTTGTCTGAAATCCCAGTAATGCCCCAACTCACTCTACCATCAGCTGTGTGTCCCCTCTTACCATTTAGTCTCTTTGCCACAATTTTTGTGCTGTGGATGCTAACAGCTACTGAATGATGCCTTAAGGTTTGAAACATTTGAGAGTCTCACTGTGTGTCTTCTGTTTCTCCATCGTCCTGACCCCACTTTTCCCAAGGTGCTGTACTCTGACAGTTTCCGTAAGCAGGTCCAGGGCAAGGCCGCCTTCGTTCTGGACACACCTGAGATGAGGCGTGTCAGAGAGACCCAGCGCATCATTTCTGGGGTAAGATTGTTTAATTTATGCATCTTAAGTTTTATTTCTACTCCAGTTAGTTCACTTTTCTACTACTTCTTCTTCTATTTATCCCAAATCCCAAGAAAAGACCAAAACCGACAATGTAGTAGTTGGAGCCCAGCCCCAAGTTAATTTCCTCCGACTGAAGATGTAAATCTTTGTAAATAGCTCACAAATACATACATTTATTTTTAATAATGTCCTAAAGCAGCTATGCGCTATATTGAGCAGAGGATGAATACACATTTGGTGCTGTAGTGAGTATTTATGGCAGCAGGGGTGTGTATGTGGTACTGAGTCTGTGCGGCTCATTTATATGTTATAATTCTTGGACACAACAATCAGGGATGTGATTTTTCCAGATTCATCCGGATTCCAGACTCTCCTATAACAATAACCTGTGTGCTCACTTTCAATTCTACCTCCAAATTAAATGGTTTTGATCATCTGGCTAAACTGTCTGATCACCGTTTTTCTAGATCTAAGAAATGACTTTGATTCAAACATCATTGTGTTTGTACAGTTTATTAAACTAACACAAACAATGCCTGACATAAGACCCACATTGCTCCAAAGCGCTTCATGTCCATCAATAGTGACTCTCCCAGAAGATGAGGAGAAATAGAGAAAGTATATTGTGAAAATGGTTGGCATTCCCTTTTAAATTCAGAGAGGTATATACAAATATATATATATATATATTTCTAGAGGGGTCCTTACATATATAAACTGTGGTTACTTTCCAGGTGAGATACCACGAGGACTTTGAGAAGAGCAAGGGCAGCTTCACTCCCACCACCTCCGACCCAGTGACAGAGCGTGTGAAGAAGAACACCCAGGACTTCAGCGACATCAACTACCGTGGCATCCAGAGGCGTGTGGTGGAGATGGAGAGGAGACGTGCCATCGAGCATGACCAGGAGACCATCACTGGTACAGTTACAAGCATGCACACAGTCATTACTTTCATGCCTGTGGACTGTTGGTGTCTTAATAGAGATATGGACATGAAGGTTAAAATCTACTACAACTTGCTGAGACTGGTTGCTTTGAGCTACAATTTACCAGACTGATACCGTATTTGACTCTGTGCCCTCAGATCTGCGTGTATGGCGCACAAACCCCGGCTCTGTGTTTGACTACGATCCTGCTGAGGACAACATCCAGTCCAGGAGTCTGCACATGATGTCAGGTGAGATGAGACATTCAAAAGCATCACTCCATCAAGCTGAATAAGTAGATATGTTTTGCATAAATATGTTTTTTTTAAGGATTATAAGACATTGCATCATGTGTGCAAAGCTGAATAATAATAATTATTATTATTATTATTATGATTATGATTATGATTATTATTATTATGATTATGATTATGATTATTATTATTATTATTATTATTATTATTATTATTATAAGTACTGTATGTGAGCTAGAAGCACTG